TAGTGGACTTAGGCCGGGTGTGCCAACCTACTTAGTCTGCTATGGTACGGTCGTTCACGATGTTCCAGGGAGGATGAACAGTGCTGTGGGGGGGGGGTTACTAACGAGGGTTAGACACTCTAGCGATTTCTATCTACTGTACAGTACAAGTGTTATCAGTACAGTACCTCGTGGCTACTTGTGCTGTGGTCCTAAAGGGGGCACCGTTAACGGAGTCTCTGTAGTCTGAGCGGCATTTCCCATTCTCAACCCCTTTCTGCTATTCGACTCTAAATACTAATGGTCTCTATAGTTACAAATCTCGATCTCTGGACAGCTTCAGTGACAGATAACCTCTTTTCTAGTTTAACCACCCAAAGTTCCCAATAACTCCAATAATACCAGGCTTTAATTCCAGACCTGTACCGATAGCATATGTGCTGTCATATACAGGCACTATGCCATACAGTACCTACTTCTACCTCTATCTCCGATGTTAGCTTTTACTCGAATGTATGTACCCGGCAAAGCAGGATCCGGCAAGTCCTACTCTACAAGATCGCCGGTATCCCATGGGACACAAGAAGTGGAAAGTGATGCAGTCGTCTGAATGATAGCCAGCTTGACATTGTTGGATTGATCAGCGGTATGATAATTGTATCTGGAGGTCTCCCTTGAGTTTTTTTGGGCAATTTACTCAGAAGTTGCTAACTTAGAATTTTTCTCCGAGTTTACTACCATAGACTTATGCTGAATTCTTCACTCAAGTACTGCAGAGAGTTGAGTCTATTAGTAGTATATTCATGGTCTTCAGGTTGAATCGTAACTATAAAATAGACTTGACCGCACTCAACGGGCCATGATATCCAGTGAAATTTCTCAGCTTTATTCTTCCCTTTTTCTAAGGTAAAGTACCGAAGGGTGGTTGCCTATATGCTAAGAGCCTACCCGCACCGGATAGGGATAGCTAAAAATCAAATCTATGATTATACATCAACGTTTCTGCGCTATCTGAGGGCGCATACTAACAGCAGTACTCGCAGAAGGTCGACAGATCCTGCTGCTCTCAGTTGTTGGATTACTACAGGTACTATAGGTGGGAGATATATACAGGTGCCAGGGGAGAATTTCCCGCACAAGACAGGGATTGTTTTACTGGTTAACCTAAATCAACTACTCACTAACTTTCTACCAGGTACTTGTACCGTGGCAACTAGAATAATAATTGAACCTCGCGATAAGACTCTCAGAAGTCCCCTCTCTGGATAAAAATGGGGAGTCGACCCGGAAAAATCGGCTTTCAGTACTCCGCTTGGAGGGGAAAAAGAAAAGAAAAGAAAAAAAGGAAAGACCTTACATGGAGAGGCAATTCCCACGTCCTAGCGTGAGATTCGAGTATTCTAGTTCTAACTGTACATTACTATAGTAGCCCCACTTGAAAAGCGCTTACTGACTGTTCCGGAACGAAGGGACACTGTGGTTGAACTCCAGGGGATGGATCGGTGGATGAAGATTACGGAGGAAAAGAAAAGTCTAGTAAAAGCTCACATCTTTGAATATTTTAATTGAGCCATTACTAGTGTACTCTTCCGGTATGCCACAATATGTCCCGTTGGCCAGATCGATCCCATCTCACCCAAAAGGGCAGTTTCAGTGGGAGGAAATCACACAGCGTGGCAGTCTACTCGCTGTGTCGAAGTGTTTTTAAAAAGAACTGCTATTGCATACCATCCAGATCTGAGCAAAAGGGCCAATTTTTAGTAGTATGCAATAGTGGTTCTTTTTTTAAAAAAAAAACACTTCGACATACGAATACTCACAATGTTCTGACGCTTGCGACCACGACTGCTATTGCATACCACCAGAGTCTTGAGTCTCCGGCCGATCTCTGCCCTTATACAATAGCCGTTGTGATACAAACGTCAGAACATTGCGAGAAATTCCAGAGGGTCATAAGGTCTATCCTGTCGAGAACATGGGTAGAACTGAAATAGATCTGTGCGATACGACCTGCAGGACATTTAGGCTTCGATTTAAATGGGCCTATTCAAAACCGATTCGAGGGATATTACACCTTGACTGAGCTTCAGTTAAGCAGTACTGTACTAGCACTGAGCGAATGAGCCGGATAGTGAACGCTGATACCTGACTGCGGCCTCGCGAGCGACTGTCTCGAGCAAGTTTTCACCGCCGCAGTTCCATGGTGGGGTGGCATGGCTTCCTTGTCAATGTATCTGCTACCCGCACTTTCCGGTCACGATGCTGTACTTGTACAATATCATCTCCGAAACATAGTCCGGGGACCAATCAATTGCAAGTTGGGCGCTGTACCATTCAGTGCTCGGGTACAGGGCAAAAGTATAAGAACGATATAACATCCTCGGTACCTCTTCTAAGGCTAAAAATCGTGCAGGTGAATACATTGAATGTCTTAGAACGGGGGAATGAATACGAAGTGCACCGTGCTCGCTGTCATCAACGTGCAAACCTTACTTCCTCATTGGATGTACAATCGTGGAACACCAAAATACACACCCGGTCCAAATACACACGCACTACTGATTGGTCAAATCCTAGCGATCACCACCTCTTGTACTCGGGTACGAGTACAGGCCAATCGGTGGAGACCGTGTATTTGGTCCGGTCGTGTACTCGAGTATGGTATTTGGGTGTTCCATGATTGTAACCGTGCATCGCCACATCCAGAAGGGGGATAAGTTACCCAGGAAATACCTCGAGGAATGGATTACTAGCAGAACCGATAGGTTTCACAACATTTCGGACTTCCACAGGGGTGTGTTCTGGCCAGTGAAAGGCGTTGGTAGATCACTAGTTCGTGATTCTTCATGGGGTGGGGTCTCTTCGGATGATCGGGTTTGGGCTGACACGGCTGCTATCATGTCAAGAGGGGGAAATAATAGGCCTGGAATTATTATTTGACAGGACACAACTACAGGGATAGCAAGCTATTATTATTACCCTTTTTTTTTTTTAACCCTGACTGAACCCCCGGTCTCTTGAAGTCCCCAATCCTGAATTTCGCCGGTGCGCCCTCTCTCTTGCTAATTGAATTAAGTCGACCTCGCCATAGCCACCTGGAGTAGTCCTTGTGCTGGCCAGACGAGCATCAAATCCTGGATATAAAGTTAACCGAGAGACGATAGACAGATGCAATGGATGGACAACTATGATACTCGAACACCAAACAAAGACAAGTCACTCAGCAACTACAACCGATCAACTAAAAAACCACCACCTCCTACTCGTACAACGATCCAACCCAAGCACCCCAGGTTGGAACCAAAGCTGTGCATTAGTTTCCGTAACTATCCGAGAAGCCCTCCCAGCACAGAGTAAATGCCCGCCCGTCATAAAATCCCATACACGGACAGAGTATCACCCTCAATTGAATACGATAGGGTACTAGAATGGGAGAGGAAATAATAGCGTCCTCCCCTCCAGATTGACTCATAATCGGCTTCGGGCAGACCGGAGTCTCCTAAACCTCCCAACCCATTGCAGACATTTATCGAAATACCCATCGTTAGCATTCCATTCCCCTGTCCTTATTTTGGCGGGTATCGCATCAGCTCCTGGCACCGCAATAAAAACGTATTACCAGAAGCAGCAAACCCGCCAACCCACAATATACCAATCCAAAAGACCCTTACTTACTTCGCAGACTATCAAAAGCATCGTAGGATCCCAAAAGCTACCGTACTATAATCTACGCCACAGCTGACCCTCGAACTCTTGCAGAAATGACGTAACTATACACGAATCTGGAATTATTCAAGTGCCGTACAGTAATTCACTTCACTTCACTCCTCCCGGGCTCAAAAGTTTTTGTGAGAGAGACCGCAGCTGAAAAAGCCCCCTCACCGCGAGATCTTTATAGACACTCCTAGAATGTGTAACTGCCCCCCCCACCCCCCCAACTAACCGGCGGTTGTACTGAGTGCAAAAAAATCAAGGATTCAGATTCACCCACGTGCAATAAATAATGCCACCTTACTTGTGCATGATACTGGCACTCCGCATAGCGCTTTGCCATAGATCAGATACAGTACTGTGCAGATACAGTAATGACAGTTTCCTGCAGTGTACCGTTACAATCCACAAGTGGCTCGTAGTGTCGGAAGGTTTTCAAAAAAAAAGAAAGAAAGAAAGAACTGCCGCTATGGTATACCACCGAGATCCAGGTAAAGGGGCAAAAATTTTGGTGGCATGTTGCAGCAGTCGCCTCTCAAAAACGCCCCGATATCACAAGTAACCAAAGCAGGTTAAGCGCAAGTAAACTATCATAAAACCCGGAGGGGCGCCCCTACCGCAGCGCAGCCGTCTGCACTCCTTGCAAGGCAGAAGGGAAAGTAGAAAGTGGCAAGTGCAAGATCCCTAGACAAGCTCAGGATCTACCGTGCGGTACTGTACTCATACAGTACCCTCGTGACACCTAACATCGGGGGACAACCCAACTTGCGATGAAAGCACTTGAAAAACTTGATAGAATTCTTTTTTAAAAATCTCTTTTGTAAAGGCTCGCCCATTGGGCCATTGGAAAGTGTTTACGGGGTGGCTTCCTTTTCAGTTCTGATTCGGGATGGAGGCATTCAAAGTTTGCATGATATGGTGGGAAGGACCGTGAGACTTGTTTATGAGAATCTTTGATGAATGATTAGCCATTGAGGCTTCCGGATTTGGTATGGCCAACCAGTATTAGGACTAGACTTCTTAATCCGACGTGAGACAGGGCCGATTCTAATGCTACTTGTAAGGTCCTGGCACCTGGCTCCATTCCGTAAAAAAAAAGCCCTTGCTGTTGAAATGCACTACCGACTCCCGGCAGCCGGCACCAGTATGTGCTGTATCATACCAGATTATCAGAGATTCAGAGGCAATCAGCCTGCCAACCCGACAGGCCAACAGACCTACGAAACGGCCGCAAGCCACCCGCACCATTGAGCAAGGTCCAACATCCAGTACGCCTATCCTCCACCGCTTTGGGAAAACGCTAACCACCCTCCAGAGCTCCCGTCTCCAACTCCAGAGACTACAGGACTGAGATGCTAGTGGCGGATCCCAAGAGCCTTCACAGCGCCGTACTGTGCATCGTGGGTATGGGGTTGAGATGCTCCGCACCGGGCAAGCATCCCATATGAAAGTACCGGTATCCGAATATAGGGATCAAAAGCTGTATGGCAAATCATTCCCTGCGCTTGAACGCTCGTGGTAGATTCAGATTCGATTGGCTCATACTCCATGCCGAGCGGCTGGCTATCCCGATGGCCGAAATTTCTGGATTTCGTCCTGCACAACAGGGTGTACGGGACTGTGGAAGGGAAGGTTCGATACGGTGAACAGACTGCACATAATTATCTGTTTAATGGTATTTATTTCGTTCATCTATTTTAAATATCCGATGGTTCCTTTCCTCCCCCCCCCCAGCCAGCACCCCCAAATAATGATACTCCGCAAAACAATGGAAAAAAACTTGCACACCTCGGGCACCAAGTTGGTTTTTCATCTAAAGCTTATTCCCACCCTTTCATCCTCTTCTCCTCTTTAGGGATAGTCCCTTTCAAGTTTGCTTGCACTACGGGAATACGGCTCTGCAGAATACAGTAGGGTTGCATAAGAACAGAGAGTGCGATTCCATACGAACCCGAAACCCCTGCTTCCCAGCCCAACCAGTGCTTCCATATAAGAATTTGTGGCCGCTGCAGAATTTCTATGGCTCAGCGGGGTACGGTACCCGGCCCAGCTAGATCCGGGAAAGCGGGGTGCAACTGTACTAGTACAGTATGATACTTGTACTCTTAAAAACCATTGCCCTATCCTATGTCCTACAGGGAAGAGGAAGCGAAGAAAAAGAGAATGGGTTGAAGTTGTGAACGAGTGTGGGTGGGATGGGTGTGGGTTGGTTACACGGCCCGATCAGGAAATCCCTTGTCCTCCGTATTAGTACAGTGAGTTAAGCAATGTCATGAGGTTTTTTAATTTTCGGGCCTTCGGGTCATTGGTGTTCTAGGTTCGAGTGACTGGGCAGTGCTACACACCCATGGTATGGGAACAACAAACAGAGGGGTACCCTCGAATGATACACCGAGGATCTGGTGGTAGGGCAATAAACTTGGTAAGGCCGTTTGCTGTACCCCTCCTGTTCGCTTCCCTCCCTACTACTGGTACGGCACGTTATGGCTCACTTTGGTACGATGGAAGGCTATTTTTAGATCATATGGATCGGGGGGGGAGGAGGCAGAATCGGGATACGGTGCACAAGAATACAAGGTTGGCGGGTTATTGTTTAGTGATTGAAAGGTTCGTGAAGCACAGCTGCCCTCGCCAGGCCGCAGAGCTGCAGAGCTGCAGATCTCAGGCACTGTAGGCGAAGGCTCATGACTGAGTTAGTGAATGAATAAGTGAGTGACACGAGAGAAGATGAATGGAGTCGGCGGCGGGGGATCGAACGATAGTCTGATTACAGCTCCAGCTCCGGCTCCCCCTAAGCCCAATACCTACGGTGCGATACTCCACAGCTCGAATGCAGCTCCCCCGAGAGAATATAAAAACCCCTCTACCTCCCTCTCTCATGTTCATTCCCTCACCAGCACCGGTCCAGGAAAGCATACACAAGCCAAATCACAAGTCCTTCACTTGCCTCTTTCCATTCAATCGTTCATCTCCCTTCTAAATCAACCAAAAGAAACCTATATAACACCTCCCTCCACAACCCAGATTCCAAAAGAAAATGCAGTTCACAACCTATGTCCTCGCAACCTTCACCCTCATCTCGGCCGCATTGGCAAGCCCCGTTAACAACCTAGTCGAGCGCCAGCTTCAGTACTGCGGTACCCAGCCATATTACCCTCAGGACGTATCTCACCCCTCCCTCCCTCACCCGCAATCGCGCTTCACACGACCATATCACTGAGACTAAAAGGAATATACATGATAGTACACCTGCTACCCTGCCAACAACAACCTCCTCTGCCCAATCAGCAACGGCGTTATCTTTCAGCCATGCGGACAAGCGTGCTTCGACCCGGCGAACTATGGTTGCGTCAATGGACAACTCGTGCCCGTTGGTAATTGCAATGGACAGGCCTATGATAAGAACTCTGTATTATCCCCTCCCTCGCCGTGCGAGACCATCGCTAATAGTAATTTGACAGTACGTCTGCGTGAGCAACCACCTCTGCCCAAAGACTCACCCGAACCTTTGCGGCGAGGCTTGCTACAGCCTTAGCCAGTACCGCTGCAACAATGGACAATTGGTTCAAGTGTAAGCGCTCTCGGTCATGACCGAGGAAGCCGAGTGGGGGAGGGGGGGGAAGAGTTGGTACATTAATCGGATCTAAGAAATCTTGAGATCGGGCAATTCATAGCTAGTGTTTCTTATGTCGGGAATAATGGATGGGGGTGATATGTATTGGCGGGTGGAACGGTGGGTATGGGGGTTTACGTCTTTCGCTGGAAGCATTCATTGTATTGGACATGTTTTCTCACTCATCTTTTGCCCTTTTGGGGGTAGGGGACAGCCAGTATCAATCACGGCTGGGGAGGGAGCGGGATAAGGAAGGAGTGTAATGAATAAATGAATGGACGGATGATATACATATCGAACCTATCGCCATGCTTCCAGTGATAGCTCCGGGCGCTCAGAACGCATCATGGGGGAATCATCGGCAATCAAGTCATCCATTCATCCCCACGATATTGGTACTGCGCCAAGATCCCCAATCCCCAAGACAAGAGCGGCAACCCACCTTGGCCATCAAAGGGGTCGTCGAGCAATGCCACATCTCCGAGTTAATCCATTACACCCACCTCTTAGACTACCCTCAAACTTTCCCCTTATACACAAGGCTTGGAACCCATCGACCAAAACAGAAAGGAATATATTGATTCTATCCGATTCACATTCCAAGATCTGTTCTATAAGTTTTTTTTTTTTTTTCCTACTATCATTACTCACCCGGACTTTCTAAATTATAATAAACGATTATTAGACTGAGTATCATACCATACCAGACAAGGACCTAGCTACCATATCATACCAACCCGCCCCAGGCAGACGACCCGAGAACCATTCGGACCAACTCCGGCCGCACCCCTTCACTAGTATTAAAAGCAATAATTCCCGCAAAGACAACCACAAACGCCCCCCCCCGGCAGCACAACAAGCGAGCAAGTGAGCACGAGAAAACACCTGCTACTCCCCAATCCCGCCCACACCGAACCGCACGATACCTATCACAGCCAACTTATTTTACAACACCCTAAACACAACCGAGTGAGCGCCCATGAATATGCAGAAACCCCACCCCCCATAGCGGGGTAGAAAAGATGTCAGGGGATAATTCTCAGGAATGCTGAATGGTGAGTGGGTTGGCTGGGTGAATTCCCGGACGCAGCGGGGCTGGTTGCTAACGATGACAAGTGTGATTTCCGACCGAGTGGGAAAAAAATATCCTTAGTTCGGGGTGAAATGGTTGTCTTGGTGATGGGTCGGCTTTTCCGGCGGGTTGGGAATGTGGTATTGCAAATATGATACTATACTGTGCTCGAATTCGATGGGCGTGCGCTGGGACGTTGGGGTTGCCTCTCCTAGTAAGGTGCTGTATGCCTTTCTTTTCCTTTTGTCTCAACCGAGGGCTCAGTATTCGGTGATTTCTCCATCCCTATCCCAGAAGGGTAATTTCAGTGACCTAGAAGGTTTCTCTCGTGTTCAAGCACTTACGGTAGCTATACCAGAGTATCTAAAACAGGATAACACAGAAGCCCTTTACAATGTTGCTTAAATATCATACACTTGCGATCCCTACTCGAACATGAAATCTAAAGTCTCAATCCTACAAGTGCAGGAGTAAATTGATCTTCACCAGGATCCGTTCCTACGGTGTCGGCAAAGCTCCCGTTCTCCAGGTCTACCGGTTTAGCCGGCTCGGCCCCTACCTTGGGAACGGCCGGCTCAGATGCATCCTTGGAGCTCTCTCCCTTCTCCTCTTCCTCCTCTTGCCCAGAGTTCTCCATACCAACCGCCATCCCAACCACGCCAGCGAAGCCCTCCCCCCTCATATCCACTCCCTTTGCCGGCTCAAGTCCTTCGCCTTCCACGACAACTGCACTCTCTCCCAACTCACTGCTTCCCTGCTCTGTCTCTTCATATGCTGGGAGCTCCTCACCGCCCTGGACGAACACCCTCGCGAGTTCATCTTCAATGTCCTTCAGCCTGTCTCTTAGGCCCTCCACACTCTTCATCTTCTCCTTGAGCTCTCTAAGCTCATGCTCAACGCTACTACGCTCTCTTTCTGTTCCGATTCTGTCAAATTCCCACCCACCACCATCCAATTGCAATTGGAAGGTGTGATATTTCTTGAGCTGTGCACGAGAGGATATCGTGATTAGGGTTATCCCGTGTTCCTTGGCAGTTTCATAAAGGAGACCTTCAACATCTTGGGAAACAGCAGATGTTCCCTCATCAATAAAAGCATATTTAGGCTCCTAAATAAAATCAGCTCATAAATTAAGGTCACCTACGTAGGGAGTGCTCACATGATAGAGAAGTCTCGCCAAACTAATCCGTTGCTTCTCGCCACCACTCAAGACGTCTTTCCATTCCTTGCGGCAGTCCCATCCACCCTCTCTATCTGGAAGACGCCTCAGACGGACGGCGTCCAGTATCCCTTTCAACTCATGATCGGACCGTCCATCTGCACGCATCTCCATCTCCGTGTGTGGATAGATAACTTGATCCTGGAAAACAATAGGGTCAGCATCAGAACATACAATCCGAAACATTAAGCGCATAAAAAATCGACAGCGGCGCACCCTCAATGTGCCCTGGGCAAGGTAGACTCTTTGGGGGAGGAACATAATCCCATCCATCCCTCCGCCACGGGGTCTGCTGACAAGGCCCCTGTAAACCGGCCAAAGCCCCGCAACAATCCTAGCAATACTCGACTTCCCAACGCCGTTCGGTCCTAAGATTAGCAAGTGCTCGCCTTCCCTAACCGTAACATCCAGGCTCTCCACCAATTCTTCTCCACCTCTCGGCCAGAGCCCTGGAGCAACAATTGGAACACCCTCGAGCCTAACACCGTCGTACCCTTTGTGAAGGGTACCTTGAATATCGGCCATTCCGTATAGTTCAGGTCGGGGAGTCGAGTATGCTTGGGAATGGACTCTGTGAAGTGTTGATACAAGAGTATACACCCTCGAAGTATAACCCGCCAATTCGGACAAATCCTTGAAGGAGTACATCATACGACCACCGGCATCCGCAAGCGACAGCATGAGCCGTTTGTTAGTAATAAAGCCCTTCATTCTGTCTTTTTCCCTACCCGCAGGCTCAGTCCCAGCGAGTTCAAGGACACCGCCAAGACCGCCCCAAGCAGGCAAGAAGACAGGGAGAGAGGTGATCAAGTATCCGAAGGCCGCTTAACACTCATTATTAGCACCGCCAAACTGAACTGGAAGGGGCAAACCCACACCAGCTGTACTTCAAGACAAAATCTTCTAGCATGTTGTATTGGATTTTAACCTGGTATGGCAATGTTAGAAAACCACTCGGCCAAGATGAAACACCGGGCAGCCCTACATTATAAATGCCCTCCATGATTTGCTTTAGATCTTTGAAGCCTTTCTCTAAGAACACCTTCTCCATATCGGCGCCGCCGTAGAAGGCAACTTCTTCGGCATTTCCAATCAACCGGGCTACAGAAGGTTGATAAGTAAATCAACTGGCCGATATATATAATTGTACTCACTATGCAGCCCTCTGAAATCACCCTCACGCTTAGCTTGAGCAGCAGCAAGCCTTCCAAATGGCGGAGAGAACTTCTTCAACATCCATGCAGTGCCACCGTAATTGAGCGTGATGCCTGCCAGTGCCATTGGACCCAACGATCTCATAAGCTGGTAATTGAATACCACCAAGTCCAAGAAGGGTTTGCCAAGAGAAGAATACAACGCAGCAGCCGAGTCACAGAACATTGGGAGATCAGAGGTGATAAACTGATCAGCTCCCCCACCCGTCAAGCCGCCATCGAGATTACCGAGCTTGTAATAGGCTTGTCTATCATTGAGGTACAAGTCATGTATGTACCGTGTCAAACGAGTGCGGAAAGCTATTGAGATTTTCGATTGGAGATATTTTATCTGGCAAGCCCGATATTAGGTTCTCAATATCCATAGGTGCAGAACAAAAAGGGATAGGGTACCATGGCATTGCAATAAACAGCCGGACCGCCGACACCAAGCCATTTCACAATACCCCAAGAAAACGCCTTCCCATTTCCAGCGACAAGATCTCGAACAATCTCACCGTCCAGCCTTGCGACTACTAAACTGAGATAGGTTCTGCTTATCAGGAAGAAGGTGTGAAGAAGCAGCAACAGACTCTCTTTGCTTGTGAGCCGAGGTATCATAATACTAAGAAGACTCAAGAATTGATGAAGAAAAGCCAAATTTAACCCCGGCTTAGTATTAACAGGAGGGCCCTCTCCCACATCAGCGCCACCGAACGAGCGAGACTTCCGGGCCCCTAAAGGTTCGAGAAACAGGCGACGATGGGCATCAAAGGTAGTGGATTTGGTCGGTTTTATTATTACTTTGGCAGTGGTTTGCTTGTAGGGAACATAGATCAATCTTGAACCTAAAACCGGTGAGAACATGGTTAAACGAAGCCCCAAACAGGAAGAGCCTCTATGGGCAAAACTAACCATCTTTGAGCTGGATGGCAGAGTTCCGTCGCAGAAGCACACGCCCCCGGCCCTCATCTGCTTTCCTCCGCCGTCTTCGCTCATACAGACAACCAAATAGAGTGCAGAGGACTGTAGCAGCGAGAATGCGGAGTGATTTGGGAGAAGAGCGCAGGAGCTTCGTGTACTGATCTAGCAGTATCACCAGCGAAGGGCGTAGCGTTGACAGGTTCGCCATAGCTCAAGGGGGCGCTGGGGGGGGTTGTTATACGGATAGCATAGGCGAAACAGAGACAAAGGACACCGATGGCCAGGTGGGATTTTCAAAGAGTAGATAGTAACGAAGATCCCGAAGAGTTACCACTATCGTCTATAACAGTAACCTTTTGAGGAGCTGTGTGAAGAGAATGAAGTTCAAAGGGAATGGGGGAAAATGGCAGAAATTACTCGGAGGAAAGGTGGGGAGAGATGTCAAAAAGCCTCTGCGGAGAGCTCGTTTGCTGCTCCAAAACAACGCTACAGTACCTCCCTCGGCATGTGACGAGGGTCGAGTTTAAAGCCAGTCCACCCGTGCTTTCCCAATGACATCAATTCAGTCTATCCCTAAAGAGTAGAAAATATCACACTCGTGGTGGTCATTCATTTTCCCATAAACGTACCGTTTTAGGATATTTTCCCTAATCGGGTGTTTTAGCCTCAGCACAATAGTACTGGTACCCTTTGACCGTCCGAAATTTTACCGCGAACCCGTCAAATCATCGTCACACACCTTGAACGAAACGCCTCCATCCACCCCTCACTGCCTCACCCTCACCCCCCTCTCGGTCTCTATCATGCAGACATCCCTCCTCCGTTCGCCGACGATCCGTCAATTGGCCTCTCGTCGATTTGCTTCAACAACCGCCGAATCTGCATCTCAGGCTGCCTCTCAAGCTGCGTCGAAAGCACAGGATGCTGCAAAACAAACCGCTGCGAGGGCACAAGACGCAGCAAAAGTTGCTGCCTCTAAGCTCATATCTGCCGCTAGTGTGCTGGGGAATTCGCTCGGAAAAGTCGGCGGAAGGACTGGGCAATTGATCAAAGGTGTAGAATGTGAGTACTGGTTTTTCCATCTTGTGCATTTCATTTTTCCGTTCAATCACCGAGTAGTCTTCCGGGAGCGGGAAAGCGAATCAATTGAACAACATCGAGCCACGTCCCCCGGTATAGGGTATTGGTACATGAGGTTTGACTGAACCGCATTGCGTCCCACCCCCGCCGTTCAAAATTGATGTTCTACATTACAGCCTGATCTTTCACAAATACTGACAATCTTCCACCAACGAGCAGCACTCATTCCTCCAACTATCTACTACGCAAAGGTCACAAAAGAGCTTTCCAAACTGGTATTTTACGGACAAAGGATGTCCCCTCCGTACTTCCCCCAACTCTCCCACCACATACCCATCACCACAATTCCTTACGCTAACGATCTACAAGCAACGTTGAAACGTTTCAGAAGACATTCTCCCCCATCATAGATATGCTCAAAAACCCCAGAGCCCTTATGAATTCAGTGTCGACCTCTCCTACCCTCCAGCCCGCCTCTATCCTCGCCCGGCTCAAGGAAATCACACCAAAGGAATATGCTCAGGCTGGTGTCTTAACCGCCGAGGTCAGTCCACTGCTCCGTGCTAATAATATTCCACGACTCTGATCGCAATTTGTCACTACAGGTCATCGGCTTCTACACTGTTGGAAAGATGATTGGTCGCAGAAAGATCGTTGGATACCGGGGTGGAAATGGCGACCACCACTAAACCCCTTTTTCCTTATCGTTGCGGTGCTAGAGCGGTGGTTTGAAGAGAGAGGTCCGGGGGGGCAGGTTACTATAAAAAAACTTGAGGCAGGGTTGGGATCTTTGTATAATCCTTTCTAGAATTGCATATCCTAGGGTTCTTTTTTTTTTTTTTCTCTCCTCTGCTGTTGATTAGCTTCTTGATGAGAGTGTACAACCAATCATAGGGGGTCATCATATTTGGTCCAAAAAAATTTCTACAATCATGGAAAATATCTTGTAAGGCCCTGTCCCGCACCCCACAAATACCGCGACGTTTTTAAAATTTAATGATATCGGGATTTTTATCGCGATATTCTCCTTAAATATTGCAACGGGTATGGTAGCAACAAATGGAAGGGGGAGGGGGAAATGGGGGGAAAGGATCTAACGATACTGTAACTTACAATACTTTGAGTACTCGTAGAGTGAAGAAAGCAAGAGTTAATTAGGCTACCGTAGGGGCTCAGGCAAAGATTCAAAAACGGGAAGCCCAATCAGATAATATTATGATACTGTAATATTTTTCGGCCAAAATTTCACCCCGATAATATTTGCCACAAGATCCCTTCCCCCGAGCATCTCAACACAATGTCATATCATAAAAATAAACATAAATACAATATAGCACAGCCGCGGCAGAGCACTAAATAACACTTTCGGGGAATTGCCATTATTTTGTCTCGGAACATATACCGCTTTCGGGAAATATGGTGATATTTCCTACCGGTGAATCCACACAAGTACAAGTACGATAGGCGCCGAACAGGGTCTAAGTCGAGACAAGTCAAGGGTTCGCCAAATAACCTATCGTACCGCAGCTTTCCGATTCCCGCATTTCAAGGTTCCCCGCAGAAACGCTACGTCAGTTGACGGATGCCCCGGGGGATATATTTACCCAGGCACCAGTTTGCGCGTTGCGGGGGGTTTTTATTTTATTTTAATCTTAATCTTTCATTCTCGCCAGCCGCAGCAGTTTTTGAATTATGGAGCTGTATGGCACGCATTTCATTCTACTAGCAGACTTCAGTATTCGTACAGTACCGTATAACATTCCTCATTAGACTCCAGAGCGGAAGCAGCTGGCACACAGCCTGGCAACGGTGCCCAGTGCCGCCGATACGGTGCTATATATCGCCCAGTTCGACCGACCTGCACTATCTGTAGAAACCAATGAATACGCCTTGTTATAACAATTCGATATATTTTCCTGCACCACCGACAGGTATGCTCAAACAACACTTTTTACGAGGGCACCCCATCATTCCTGTTTACCCCCCCAAATTACAAACCAGGCCTCCAATTCCGCAAATCCCGTAAGTAGTGCAAAAAGCCTTAGCGGAAGGACAAAAGTGACGATATTCTGTTGGCTCTGCGGGAGCTGTCCTGTCTGCCCACGGATTTCTCGAAGAAGACTGTTATTTCCTCTCCAACATGACTCGGCGTGTATGAGAATAGAGCTTTTGCCTTCAACTCGACCAGTTTTGCACTGCAGTACCGGTACTCGCGAAAGTGGCAGTGTGAGTGCAGTATCTGTATGATACCGGTGCCTGTAGGTACGAGTACTGCGCAGTACGATACGCCTCCTCACACGCCACTACACTCGACAATATGGGTGCGGTACTGTAGAGTAGCCGCCCCTAAACATTACCAGTGGAGAGTGACCGGCACCGATACCCAGTATTCCCCTAAGAAAGCCTACGGTACGGTAACCGCAACTGCCCGGACAAATTATAATAAAAAAAGGTCCCCACCCCCCCCGCAGGATCTGTATCACCCTCGGGCAACCACTCCGTACTCGAACAGTATGTATGATAGGAAATTCCCACAACTCTAACAAAACCACCAACTAACCAACTACGCCTAACCAACCAAACGCTCCCCGCCGCACATAACAACTCGGCTCCCCCGATATTCTCTCTCTCTCTCTCCACCCGCAAATTTACCCGCTGCCGCCCACTCGATCCGCAGGGAAAGGGGCAATTTTGGAGGAAAAAGGGAAGAAAAAAAGGAGTGATAAGACCGTGCACGCACGCTTGGGTTCGAGTACCACACCGGCAGCAGTGCCCGACCACGCCTGAGGATCTATCAATAGCCGAATAGATGCCTCCGATGTAGTGGTCTGGATTCTCGCGCGGTCGAGTCGAGACCGGACACTTTTCACAGGAATTTGTCACTTGTGTGCGTTTGGGAATCGTGTTTTGTCTTTCTAGTGCCTTTGTCTCCTCTTGTTACCACTAATTTATTTTCTCTCATGTGCTTCCTACTCCAAGACTTATTGAACAAAATGGGGAGGGTTAGCGGAAGAGTTATCACTACCTGCACTTGGCCTTAGCTCACTACGATATTGGTATCGTACGTGCTCGCACGCTTAGTCTCCCCGCCCGAACAGTCTCCCTAAGGCTCTTCCTTGTTTCGGTTTAAGATTCCGGCCCCAGCGCAATGTGACTTTTCCGTAAGGCGGAAGTTTCATTGTCTCTACTTTTTCATCAACCACAGAGCTACTCGAGTACCTGTGCGTGTCTGATATTGGCGCCACGCAGATCACGTCTTGGCACAATCGGATAACACCAAATATCATAGTAGCTCTAGGGTGCAGGAATGAACACTTTGACCTGGCCTTTTGCAACGGAATATGGATGGAATGGAATGGGGACCATTGGCGCTGAGGGTAGCGGCTGAAGATATGATGATATTAGTTGCGGTAGGCATGGTGCAGTAGACTATCAAACTCAATTATCTTGTTAGTACTCGTACAGTACGAGTACCGTAAAAACTCGAATAATTGGACGGTGTGCTAAGGGGTTGAAATAAGGTGTAAAACCGCCGCTCATGTCTTGAAAATATCTAAAGTAAAACAACATTATAAATCAAAAACATGTAATTTTAGCTAAACCCCATGGTATTGCGACTCCTGAAAAAAAAAAAAAAAAAAGAAGCAATGTAAACAAATAGGCGATTTATTTCTAAATACAGGTACTCTTTACAAAACAGTCTTCATCATTTCAAACCAGAAGTTCAAAATGAGATTCCTCATACCCTCCCAATTCAGTGGCCATATACGCATCCAAACTAACCTTCCTCCACTACCAGCTCAGCGATTTTATGCTGGTATAAAAATAAAAAAATAGGACCAAAGAGGAAGCCCCTTTCACAACTGTTATGGCAGGTGGAGAGAAAAGTAGAAAACCCATATCACTCCTATACCGTTAGCTTTAAATTATGTATTCTATCCTACTAGATTGGGATGAAGATATGATATGGTCCAACCAAGGTTCGTGAACTGACACAGGTAGAGGTTGCACAAAGGTTTAAGATTCCGGCAACAAATCTCTTATATTGGAAGAAAGAGGAAGAAAATGGAAAGTTTACTATGATGAGAGGAAATCAGTGGAGGATAACAGGAGGAGAAAGGGGGAGGATGTGGCCAGAAATGGAGCGAGAGCTATTTGAAAAGTTCAGAGAGTGAAGGGAAGTAGGGAGACCAGTGCAGCGTAGCTGGTTTCGCAGAGTTAGCAGAGAGCTATTTCTTAAGCACTATCCTAGTATGGAGAATACTCTGAATACCTTTATCTTTTCCAATGGCTGGTTCTGTTGATATCTAGTATGGTACCAAATTAGTCTCCATTTTGTGACCAATAAAGCAAGTCAGCTAGCTATTGACTTTGCTAATATAATAGTTAGTTAACTACGGTTTAATTACCGAAACACACAATTTCACCCAGACGATAATGCACTGAATGGACAATTCACAGCTTTCCAAGTTGGACTTTATCGGTTACAGAATATCTGTAATATGGACCAAATACTCATCTCATTTGAATACCTAGAAGGGCAAACATACAATCAGATTGATAGCAAAGCAATCTGGATACAGGCCAGCTACTCGAGGCGGGATAAAAGACAAGGCACTGTGCAACTTACTTTCTTTACAAATGGGATTCTGTTGGAAATACTGGGATCTGATACCTAGGAATTACCCTAGGTAGGGTAACCCCACTCAGAATCAGAATGTCTGGTCTCCAACACCCCCCTCCGGCCCCCTTACAGGGCTTGTACGTCATTAAAGCAGGTGAGCCCTCAGCGAGGCACTATGAGACTTGGCATTTTAGCGCAATCAGTAAATGAAATTTTATAACAAAATCTAGAGTAAACTGTTAGGCGGAGACAACCTGATAGACTTCAGAGTTGTCTAGGCCGATCGAGATTCGTTTTTATAGACGGAGATTGTCTAGGAAGGCTCGAACTTCACTCGTTTCGTTTATGACTACTAAGAGCGAAGTAAAGTAGGGTAAAGTAAAGTAAAGTCGTAAGAACAATATTATATTGTTAAGGTCTCTTCTCCGTTGCTTGATAATGTCTAAAGCTTGAGAGGCACTTCGATATTTATATTCCGCGTCTGAGTGTTCGCGGACTACATCTAACTAACATACAACCATGTACCTTTTTCCAATATAACTCGTAACGTCGGGTTTTCTTCCAAGGTGCGAACACCTGGAGACCCTGAAAATCATCACACCCTCTTTGATAATTATAATATGACTATTTGGAAGTCATGCTGTTTCCAATAGTAATTATCCGATGGTGAGAGTCTTTTTAGACAAATGGCCCAATTCTCAAGTCGAACTGTGTTGGCTCCAATCGTCTCCCTTGTCGACGAAATGATCAGTTTCGTCTGCGGGTTGCATCTGCGAAGATAGTTGTTATTACCGACTTTCTAGGTCATCTAACTTCAACTCTTCATAACTCCATACCCAACCGATAGGTTTTTTCCGGAGGACTTCCTACTTGCCTGCAGGAAGCCTTTCCATAGGATTGACGTAGATAATCCCTCGGTCGGTAACCCTTGGTTGCCGTGGGTAATAGGATTCTGGTTACTGTTACCGGTTTGGGAGTCACCCCTTTGGTTGCAGTATGTACCGGAACCTAGTTGTAACACTCCTCGAACTTCATTGGGTTCGATGGTAGTATTCTCAGGAGTTCCAGACTCTTCTGGTTATCGTAGGGTAGATGTGAATGTATTGGTCTTTCATTAAGATCCTTTACTATTCATCATCATCTTTTTGTGCGAAAACGTCCCGTTACCTACGGCCCATGCCGAAGATATCTCATTCTTGAAGCCTAGTAACT